GACCCAGGTATCCACTGGCAAAACACGGCCACAGTTCAGTACGATGCTGAGGTGTCATCTCCATTTCTGGAGGCTGCATCATCATCATCATCAAACTCGGTTCCTCACAGCGCATTCCAGTATGGTGCGGGGATTCACGCTCCTTCACCTTCCTCCTCCTCCTCCTCCTCCTCTTCTCCAGCTCCCAGACCTTCAACCGGTCCAGATCAAAATGAAATATCTCGCGAAAGATTTAATAATTACAAAATCAGGATACGACTCTTCATTCCCCCGTCTGATGAGCCTCCGAGTCTGGCCGATTTCTACACCCAAGTGATTAACATTTTGTCAGACTTGGCTGACAGAAGCGCATCATTAATGAAGCGGGGTGATTTTGTTCAACTGGAGCTTTCAGGAGAAGGCTCGGCGTTAGCGCATCACATCGCTTTCGCTGTAGGGGGAAAAGAAGAAGATGAGCGTGAAATTTCTGAACATTTCGCTGATTTTCTCGATGAATTAATTCAATCTAATGTGCTAAGTGAAGCGGATGGAACGTTAGAATTTACAAATTTCAAATTGTCAGAAACCGGACAGGTGGGGTTGGGTCAAAACGTAAACTCAGTAGGACTCTGGATATCGAACTTTTGCATAAAAAGAGACAGCATCTTTACATCACTGAAAATCAGAAAAATAAAATACGTTTTTTCCTCAGCTTAGCTCACGTGTGTAACCCCACGTTCACAGACGCACAGAATTTACAAATGGCTTTGCAATGGCACACTCAGCTCGGGTTCTCAGTTCACACACCTGTCACATTATCTGATGTGATTAAATTTGAATGTCTAATAAAAAGGAAAGTTATTGTTTTTTACAGACCTTCCCCAGACGCAGCGCTGACTAAATTTGAAACAGACTTCTCAGACCGTACCAGAGCGGTTTTTCTGTTTTTAATGAACGATTATTTTTACGGGGTGAAAAATATAAAGGTTTCCTAGGTGTCAAAAACTTTTGCTATTTCTGTTTCACATCTTTTGAAAACCAGCACACGTACCGTTGTGAAGGCTTTTGCGGGTTGTGTAATCACGACTCGTGCATTCTGCATGAAGCAGAACCGGTCAAATGTCACCTATGTAACAGAACCTTTCACAATGCAACCTGTTTTCAGAATCATCTGATCCCCATAGAAAGACCCGTGGTAAAAAAATTTGTCAGTCAGTGTCAACTTTACAAGAAATGTCTTGATTGTAATCTGATTTATCGAGTCCTGTTAATGGGTCACTCGAAAGTCGCAAATGTGCTTCTCGAAAATGCCCGATCTGTTGTGAAAAGCTGGATCCAGGATGTGATGTAATTCAGGGCAAACACTTATGTTACATACAGCCCGCCTCGCGTGATAAAGATCTGCACAGTAAAATAATATTTTACGATTTCGAAACCTTTCTGAATTTGGAAAAAATACACGTAGCATTTCTAGTGTGCACAAAGAGCGTGACAGGAAACGTCTGGTATTCCTACGGGCTGGACTGCGTCAGAGACTTCCTGTTAAAATTCCGTAGACCTCTGTTCAGCGGTTACACGTTTATTGCGCACAGTTCGCATGGTTTTGATTCGTACATCATTCTCAGCTGCATGACAGAGCTCGGTATTTCACCGAGCATCATTATGCAAGGATTGAAAGTTTTGTGTTTCACTGATCCTGATTACAATCTGAGATTTCAGGACAGCTTATGTTTTCTGATGATGAGACTGAGCGCGTTTCCACAAGCGTTGGGTTTCCCCGACTGCTCAAAAGGCTATTTTCCGCACAAATTCTCCTTTCTGGAACATTTAAATTACACAGGAGCATTTCCAGCTGCGTCCTATTTCGATATAAGAAGTCCAATCACAGATGTAAAGCCATCTGCTTACCTTTTTTACATTATGGTGGACATCCGAGCGTCAGTGTCCTGGACTCCTTCCACCCCGTAACGTCCAAACGCAGAAGATATCTCGGTGGAACCTCCAGATTTTGTTGCGGACAAACACCGAACTTACTCTCCGCCCAGGCCCGTATTCATCCTCTGACGTGGACCTGTTACTGAGGTGAATAACATACAGGTACTTTAAGGTTCAAACCTCCTTTATTATTTGAAGATAACAGTTATGATAAGATACAGGATTATTAAAAGCATAAATGCACATTTATAGAGACAACCTTACAACCTGGTTCCGAAGAATCCAGTGCACTCAGCTCTGCTGGTAAGTTGTCTGTCTGATCAGGAAAGTTGCAGCATCTTTATTCTCCTCTCACACAGACACAGGAATGCAGTCTAAACTGGTCTCAACCGGTTTCTCCCCCAGATTCCTTCAGCTTATCTGCAACCCATCAACTCGCTTGTCAAAGCTCTGCTGCTTCCTTCAGCAGTTCACAGCGAGGAGAAGGACATACATTTTTTCTAATAATAAGTGAATAAAATGTATAACACTTCAGTTGATTAACACAAAATACTGCTAAATAAACTATAAGCAAAAGTGAACAATATCTATTATTGATTATAGAACTGTAAGTAAACAATATCTAATTTTGACTATAAAATTAAACCTCTCAACAAGATGTTATCCCCAAACGCACCTTTCACTTCAACCACTCCCAGAAGGGGCGCAAAGGAGTCACCTACAGCCTGATACACAATTATGTCTGAGTAAACAAATAAATTATAATTTCCAGCGTGTAGATCCATTTTGTACGTCGCTGGTCTTTTGGATAATGTAAACCACTGTGACGGGTCAAAACCTATCAGATAACACAAAGGGGGCTGCAATCTGACTTGATATTGACCTTGACCTTTAAATTCCACTTTTTACATTATAGAATTAAAAGACAGCTCCACTGCTGATGTGTACTCGTTTAACGCACTTGTCATCTGCTTGAGCAAGTCTTGAATACTTCTGAAACTTCCTCCTCCGCTGAGTTTTAAAGGAATAATAACCGATTCCTCTTTATTCATCCCATAAGGCTGTGCATATTTTCTGAGCTCAAAGTAACACCCAGAGCTGAGAAGATTGTACCACATGTGAGGATAAATGATCTCATAAAGACCGACTTCCCACTCTCCCGATAATTCGATAGGTTTTGCTAAATGTACAATAAAATCCGAAGTTTTATTTTCAAAGGTCCCAGCGTTCGAATTCGATGGAAGTGTTACGTAAAAACCATGTGCTGGATATCCCATGTTTATCTCCCGCGGTGCGTAAGCATACTGACTGTAAATAACGATACATAGGTTTTTATGTGTTGTGTAGGTTGGCATATTCACGTTTGTGAATTCCAGCTACGTAGGTTTTTATGCGTTGTGTAGGTTGGCGTACTAGTGTCTGTGAATTCCAGCTACGTAGGTTTTTATGCRTGGTGTAGGTTGGCGTACTAGTGTCTGTGAATTCCAGCTACGTAGGTTTTTTTATGCGCGGTGTAGGTTGGCGTACTAGCGTCTATGAATTGCATCTACATAGGTTTTTATACGTGCTATAGATCGCTGGCTTTAATCCATGAATTAAACTTATCTGGCCAATTTTTCCAGCTAACTAGAACCTGTCGTTCACCTCTGAACGTGTGTTTTTTCAACACTTTATCGACCTGGTACACTCTCTCCTTGTCTATTTTGATCTTCTGTAATTCCTTCTCATAGAAAGACCCCTTTATCTTTTGACCATCAAAGTCTATAATTTTGTAAACAGCTGGATTTCGGTAAAGGCATTCTGAGATTGTAAATATTTCATCCGTGAAACTTTGTTGGTATTTCTTATCAAAAACACCCCGTAGCTTAGAGATTCTAACGTGATCACCTTTCTTGAGATTAAATTTACATTTAACTCGTTTATGAGCTCCGTACAAATTGTGTAAAACCTGCAGTTTGTTTTCAGCAGATACATTTATAGGGCGCATTTTAATGCATGAATGAAAAGACACGTTGTAGCTTCTTACAAACTCGCTCAGCGCGTCCACATAACGCAGGGTGTTTTCAGCTGTAAAGTATTTCCACATCCTGGTTTTCAACGTTCTGTTAAAATGCTCCACAGCGAAGGCTTTGACGTCGCTGAACGTGTAGAAATGCACCACGTTGTGCTTGTCCATTGAACTCTGAAATTTCTTATTATAAAATTCCGTTCCTGCGTCCGTTTGAAGTTTTCTGGGCACCCCGCTCTCAGCGAAAACAGATTCCATTGCGTTCGTAACTTGAGCAGCTGTTTAGTTTTTCAGAACTCTTACATAAGCATGCTTTGAAAACACGTCGATCACGGTTAAGAAAAATCTGTATCCATCGTTGAAATCAGACAGATTGTTCATGTCGCATAAATCAGCTTGAAATTGTTTCAGAGGGCCCGAGACAAAAACTTTATTCCTGGGAAAATGTATCCTGGCTGGTTTATGCAGAGTATATGCATCTTGGCTACTTAAAAATGTTTAAATTTTATCAGACTCGATATCCAAACCAGTTTGAACTCTCACAGCAGATATCAATCTCTGAACACCTCCATAACTTCCAGGGTTATTTGGTGTGTAATAAATTTGTTTTAGGATTTTCTGTTCTTCCATCCTGTCCCCGAATGAGTCTGGGAGAAATGACTAGTTCAAAAATAACATAGATCTTTTTATATTTTCTTATAAGAGAGAGAGAGAGAGAGAGCCTTTTTTATAACATATTTTAATATTCATTCAAATTGATCAAGAGAGACTGAAAACAACATCAACAAATACTGTAAGCTTTTTTGTTACAACTTTTTTATTAAATTTGAAAACAAACAAAACTATTTACTTTCAAATTACAATCACATTTTGAAAAAAACTAGGAGGTAGATATTGTAATACTTTTTTGTTATAACTTTTCTGTTACAATTTAAAAAAACAATCAGTTTTGATTTAGAGAAAAAACATTACATTCAACTGGTCATGAAAAACAAAAAAAAAAAATTTTTGTAATATAAAATAAAAATCAGATGAAAAAACAACAGTTTCTAATTACGCTACATAAAAACTACTATTTCAAATCAGAAAAAAATCTGAAAACATAAAGATTATTCTACACAGTTTTGTAAAAGTTTGTGAACGGTACGAGACTTTTCACCTCAGACTCTGGCATCGATTCGTACATATTGTAAATCGTTTCAAAAACATTCTGCTCAAATCTGAGTTGAAATAATAAAGTCTGTGTGATGACTTTTATTGCATAGTCATCCACGAGCATGCCACGAGTTCTGAGAATCATCTGGACGGTTGATACAAACCGATCCTTCGTGACCCTGTTCAAGATTTCAGCATAATGCGCTCTGAAAAATGCGTTCTCGTCTCGTACCGTCATACAAAGATGCTGTAACTGGCTGGGATGGTTTATAATGCACCCTGGACGTAAGAGTCCAGAGTCATGTTGAGCAGATGAAGGACGGCCATCTTAGCTGTTTGAATGACCTCCGAATCCAGCCAGTCGCCACAGGAAGCGGGCCTGGTTGATGGTTCCCGCGCTGGCGAAGCAGGAGGAAGTGAGGCCTTTTGAGGCATGGAGGCCGCTGCAGGCTCCGCAAACAGGTCCTGAGAGGCCGCTCCAGGCTCCACAAACAGGTCCTGAGAGGCCGCTCCGGGCTCCGCTCCGGGATCCGCTGGAGGCTCAGCATTCACCAGCGAGATTTCAGGTGTTGCTTCCGAATTGTCAGTGTCTGGAGGTAGGTGAGGGGTTGTTGAGCTGAGCCATCTCACGATGTCCTCAGCTATCGAATCCCTGCAAGCACACTGGAACGGTCCGCCTCTGCTTCCTGTTCCAGGGTCTTCTGCATCGAGCAGCGGGAGCTGGAGGTGTTCTTCTTCAAGTACCGGGAGCTGTGAGCTGCGAGGGGCTGTAGCCGGCTGCAGTGATGAAGGCAGGTAACACGCGAAGTAGTCAGGATGTAGCTCCTGCGGCTGAGGCGTGGAGGGGAGAACCCATCAAGTCTTCAGGCAGATCAGCACTACTCACCCCCCAGAACGTTGTGAGAGATGGCTATCGGAGCGGTTGGTACATTTTCTTTTCGGTCTTTCGGGTCGGAACTTGTTCTGAGACTTGTGCCATGTTTGTGTTCTTCTTTAAGTGTAGAGAGAACGGAAGGGGGCAGAGCTGGAGCTAGGGGATGGGGTGGAGCTGCGTGTGTGCGTGTGTGCTTGTGTGTGTGTGTGGAGGATTATGAGTTAAAATCCAATGTTTTTTAATCGCCACGACATCATTCCACTGACGACAGGTCTGAAAAAGGGTCGTGATCTCAGCAGCTGCGTTATACTCACGAAGGATGGCATGCATCGCGATCACAGGAACTGACACAACTGTGCGAAACGCCCCTCAATCCATGTTAATGGTGTCTAAATGAAACATATTGCTAGGGTGCAGGTGGTCATTTTTGTAAATGCTCGCCTGCAATTTCCACTCGCCGTTATGACAGGTGTCAGATGTCCACGAAGCCCTGTACAGCACTTTTTTCTGTGACAGCTCGGATCTACTGGGAGGGTTACTCCAGATGATTGTGCGATTTTTGTTTTTTTCCCGGACTCATCAGGGCTTGTTTTAGGGAGAAAATCTTCTAGTGGTATGAGCGCGGTTAGAACCAGCCAGTCTTCATATTTAACGACAGTGAGAGGCGTGCTTGTTGAAAACTGTTTGTTGTCACGAATCTGGTAAAGATTAAGCTCACCCCGGTGGTTATAAAATACATAACCCACGCTTGCAGTGAACCCAAATTTTTCTAGTGAGAACTCCCCGTGGAGCAGATGCGGTGGTGGGACCTGACTCCTGAAAATAAACACATTATTTTTTTGGAGCTCCAGTGACGTCTTCTCCTTCAGGTTGTGAAACAGACACCGGGGTGAAGGTAATATTCGAGAATCCGATTCAAAGCGCACATTTTGCTTGTCTAATTCGGTCGAAGTGGCCGTGTTTCTGGTTCTTTTTTCCTGCTTTTCTTCAGCATTGTCAGACGGCGACCTAGTTCTCTTTGACATGATTGCGGTTTTTCTGAAATAGAAAGAAAAGACAGAAAAAATAATTTAAAATCAATTCGCAACATGTGAAATAAAAATACATAAAAACACTGAATAAAAAAATTACAAACTTGTTAATTTAGTTTATGCAAAAAACTCCGCTTCTGATGTTGATGCGCAACACTGCTGCTGAACACAACGGGGAGGTCTTCTTATCGCTCGCTGATGGAAGTACAGACAGATAGAGTACATTTAAAAATATATAAATACATTTAACAGAATAACACTGAATAAAACAATTATGAACCTGTAAATTTCGCTTCTGCTGTGGCTGCTGACGTGCAACGGTGCTGGAACACAATGTGGGGTCTTCTCGCTGATGGAAGTACTGACAGACTGAGACATGTTCTTTTAAACGTATCACGAACCGAGGAGGGATGGGATCTGATGCTTAAGACAGGAGCTGATTGGCTGAGGGGTGGGATCTAATGCCTAAAACAAGAGCTGATTGGACGATGGAATAGTTTGACGAAAACTTTTCACACTTCTGACAGCTATCAGGGAGGGGTGGGTGAACAGACAGGTGGGCCGAGGAGATCTGTTCAAAACAGGATGTTTGTGGTCAAGAGGGGTGGGTGAAAAGACAGGTGGGCCAAGGACATCTGTTCAAAATAGGATGTTTGTGCTCAAGGGTTACAGTAAATGAAAAGAGGGGGATGGAGGGAGGGGTAGGATTACGGTAAATGAAGAGGGGAAAGAGGGAGGGTAGGGTTATGACAGGTCAAGCTCTTTTGCAATATCCTAACACCTGTTCAAAACAGGATGTTTGTGGTCAAGGCTTAGGGGTTACAGTAAATGAAAAGAGGGGGGAAGAGGGAGGGGTAGGGTTACGGTAAATGAAAACAGGAACTCACGAGTGGGAAGGAGAGAGAGGGGGACCGGAAGTTGACCATAAATGAAAGTCCCACCTTAAAGGGGCGTGGCACCTGTCACTTTTGTGTGACGTCATTTGACGAATACCGGGGTATTTATTCTCTGGCATCGGTTACAGAAGAATGTCTAAACTTCTGAAGGTTCCAGTGAGCACTGAAGGGGCCATAATTCAGAAGTAGAAAGAACATCATTTCACCATAAACCGACCACGACCAGGTGCTCCTCACAAGATTTCTGACAGAGGAGTGAAAAGAATTATCAGAAGAGTTGTCCAAGAGCCAAGGACCACTTATGGAGAGCTTCAGAAAGACCTGGAATTAGCAGGTACGATTGTTTCAAAGAAAACAAGTAAAAAAATAAGTAATGCACTGAACCACCATGGCCTGTATGCACGCTCACCATGCAAGACTCCACTGCTGAAGAA